ATCATATATCATATATATATATCATATATCATATATATATCATATATCATATATATATATCATATGCATGATATGATTATATGATTATATTATATTATTATTATTATCATATGATTATATCATATGCATAATATCATATGCTTTTTCAATATCTAACACGCTGCTACAATACTGTTTTGTTTTGTAACTTGGGCCTTTTTAATTTCAATTCCAAACTTAAAACTGAATCCATGGTATCCTGATGCATGCTCAATAATCCAGGTAGAAAAATCTAAAAAAGTTAAGTCTGAACTCCATGTAACACTTTGATATTATGAGAAATACCCATTTGCTTCTATATAGTATATTAACCTGTCATTAATCATTGTCTCCGTTATTTTGCATATATTTGATGTTAATGCAATCGGTCTGTAATGTTCTGGGTTTGTGTCATCTTTGCCTGGCTTGCCTATTGTTATTATCACTGCTTCTTTCCAACCTTGCAGTAATTTTCCACTCTTCCAAACTGTAAGTTCCAATAAAATGTCTTTAGATGATTCACTAAAATGTTTCACCATTAAATATCAAATCTGATCTTTCCCACGTGTTGTTAGCTTAAATATTTAGCTAGCAAATTAAATATTTATTTTGGAAATTAAACGTTTAGCTTAAAAATAAAATGTTTAGTTTGGAATTTAAATATTTAGCTTGCATGGACAATAAATGTTTAGTTTGGAAATTAAATGTTTAGTTTTGAAAATAAATGTTTAGCTTGTAAATTAAATATTTAATTGACATCTAAATATTTAGTTTACTAACTAAATAGTTGTCTTGCAAGTTAAATATTTAGTTTGTAAAATAAATATTTAGCTTGTTAATTAAATATTTAGTTGGGAACTATGACATTTATAAATGTGTGACTAACATGGTGAAAAAAGGACTTTGAAAAAAAAATAAACTAATTTTTTTTTCTTATGAAAGGCTAAATATATACAAATATTGCTGTTAATGTTTGACTGTGTAACTTAAATAAATAACAATTGACTCTTTAAAAACCATCAGGTAGAAAAATCAGCCTGGTTGCGAAATTACTTCGGATTTGCTTCGGTTTTGCAGCTTCCCTGGCAGCTGCGACTCTTTTAGACAAACGTATATTTTAAACAATAAAAGCATCGAATGACACCGGTCCCTCGAGCACCGAGTGACGTCACTGCGGAGGACGGTGCCGTGACGTCGGCAGTTCGACATAAAGTGAGTAGGTGGGATATGCATCATCCAGATGTGGGACTTTATGGGAGGGAAAGGGGGAGGGGGGGAGGCAAACCGGTCTAGTTAGGCTCAGATTAACAACACGAGGCAGGATAATCTGATATACGGCATTACTGATGAGAAGCATTAACTGATGTTGCAGAAGCGCAGAATATACATTCATAGCTCAGCTAATAAAGGGAGTGAGGAACAGACTGGACGGGAGAGAGTGGGGGTGTAGCCCGTGAGCCTATGAGGAGGTGGGGGGAGGGAGGGAGAGCCGCGGACGGTGATGCTGCGCGTTATCTGCTCTCTAAATGAGGGTTGTCTTTTCCCAGTTCAGGCAGCGAGCCTTCTCCACCCTTTTCCAGTGAGGCTCTGTCATTTGCACGACGACAGCAGGGCGTCTGTCGGATCTCCATCATCATCATCATCATCATCTGCGCTGGATGTAACCCAGAGCCTCTGCTGCTCCATCGTCCCCACACGGCCAGAGGAGCCGGAGATCCGATCACCGTGCCATGTGCGGAGCGACATGTATGCGTGAATTCATGCGGGGACAGCGGGAAGGGGCAATGGAGCAGCTGTCATCAGATTCCTGCAGACGCATCCTGGGTGAAGCACTGGAGGCTGTGGTGTAGAGAACAAACCTTCATACGCAGCAGTCAGAGTCGTTTTGATTGCCAGGAGGACAAACAAAAAGGGGGGTCAGTGGTCTGGTGTGGCTGTTCATTCCAACCTCAACAATGGGGTAAGTGGGGTATTATCATCCACAGGCTGAGTTCTGTTTTCATGTGAATAACTGTGAGTGGCGATTCCCTGCCATGGAAACCAGACCAGACATGACGACCTGGAATGTGTTTCAATATTCTGCTCATCCCGTTAAATCTGGTGGCTCAGTGCTCAGATCTGGCAAGGCCTCGATGTGCTGCACAGCAAAACAATTAAAAAAGAGAAGCAAAAAGCTTGGAGCTATTTATTTTTGCCCTTAACTTCAGCATACTTCTACAATACAAAAAAAACGTTGATGGATAAACTTTGACAATGAAAACGATTAATCTACAGCCTCTTGGATGTAAGTTAAAATTTTCTGTGAAGCACTAAAACTGATGATGCCAGGTTTCCTAGGTGCTCCATTACTCACTGTTATGTAACTCTGAAAGAATGCTTGCTCCTATGGCAGCATTTGGTCTAAGATGTTCTTAATTAGAGGCAGCTGTTTGTACATTTTGTCTTTTATTCTGCTCCGAGAAGAGCACGTAGCAGAGGAACGTCAGAGCTCAAGAGCTGCAGGATCAGGGGGGCAGAAAGTGGATTTTCTGTCTCTATGGCAGCACATTGCTACACCTTTACACATCCCCGGCCACAGGGACTCAGGAGTGAATCACCCATGAGCCTCCTTGTGCGCAAGCAGCACTGCTCATTTGCATGTCCCCTAACCCTCAGCCCAGCGGTCCGTTTCCTCCACCGTTTATTAACAGCTGTCTCCTGCAGTTCATTGTGAAGAATTACACAGCGGGAGGTTAACAGCGTGGCACGGGGCACCGTGTGATTTCTAGGACTCAGCCCAAACTCCTGCATTAACTATTCACAGTATGTCGGAGGCCTCTCCATCTCCCACTCCGTCCTCCTACAATGTGGGCAGCGCATCTTTCAGCAGCAGAGTCCCACTCAGCTTCAGCGCTGCCATACTGGTGACTAAGTTACTGTTATGCAACAGACTCAATGACTCAATTGATCCACAGTGGAATTGACTGTGAACTGTGATGTAAAGCTGCGGATGGTTTGCATGCGTTTAAGTCTGAATATGTGCAGATGAGATTAAATCCTATCCAATGTCCGGCTGCCGGTAATGGCACAGATAGACAGAGTCCTATTTCACTTCCGGTTGTTGTGGCTCCATACCAAAACCTCTCTTCATGGCACAGAGGAGAACAGAGCTGTTGGACACGGGGGTGGAGATGCCTATCAGCGTTCTCACTTCCTTTTGCAAATACAATGAAAGCACAGAGCGAGACCCAGTTTCTTTATATCTTTGCTCAACTGTGTAGAAGAGTAATTGTGTGCACAAGCGCATCTTAGGACATCCAACCACTCCCAGCAGGGGAAGCAACAGGGAGCTGTCCCACTAATGACCTCACTCCACTTTAAATAAAAAGAATTTAAAGATCAACACTGCCGATTTAATAAATATAAGAGGAAACGAGGGAGAAATGAGAGGGGAAGTGCGAGCTCAGTATTTCACAGTGGATCCTCCTGCACAATCAAAAGGACACACTTGAATCAGAAAACGAGCTTTCTTTCTGTGTTCACATCGGGGCATCCAACCGACACCCACTGTTGTCGTTCCTGGAGTGTTTGCCTGAGGTTCAAACTTGGAAGTTTGCTCAGTCCTTGTCTTTGTGCTTGGACCCTCTTTAGTTTTGCTGCACAGTCCAAATATCAGGCTCACTAACCAATCTAAACCGGATCAGCATCCCCTGCTCGGTCAGTTTTATGCCAGTGATTGACCGATGATATGTTCAGTTGTTCTCAGCCACTGTCACCAGAGATATGTTCTGTACATACATACCCATCTCTTTTTGAGGATGCGAGCGAGTAAGTGCTGAAGCAAACTTATTACTATCCTGTTAGTGCGCAAAATGAAAACAGAAAATCAATGGAGATCAAAACACACAAGAAAACCCAGCTTAGACACATGACACAGTGGAAACATCAAAGTTTAAACAGGTCTCAGAAAGAAAATCCAAAGATTTTACCAGAACCAAGTTCAAGTTTCATCATTTGGGGGGATTTTTCCATGATATTCACTTGATGACATCACACTCTAACTTTTGAGCTGTCCACATTTTTTAAAAATACTTTACAAACAAATTGTCCTTTCACAACTCTCTTTGGCACATGTATAAATTATGCATCAAAATGTGAGTATTTTATCTCTTCTTTCACCCGGTGTGTCTCACACTGCTATGGGACTTGTGGTTTCATCTCAAATCATCCCAGAAGGCAGAGTGTGCACACCCAAACTTCCAATTATATTTTAGTTTAAATTGTTCTCTTCTAAACTAGAAGTGAAGGGTCTTTTTAGCACCTATACGCCAGCTCTTCTACATAAAACACTGACATGTAAAAATTAGCACATGTGACCATCAGAGTCTTCGTCTGCTCAAGGTTCATTCATTTTTTTAAATCTGATTTGTAATTATCACACAACTGTTTGTTGGAGGTTTCCTTCCCAGTTTGTGTTTTTGTCTGCTTCTCATTAACTTCAGGAAGTGCCCATGGTGATCACTTAACATTTATGTTCTTGGTTTTCTTTACACTTTTTGTACAGTTTATTCAGCATTTTTCTAATGGTCTGTAGAAGATGAGGATTTATTCTAATTGAAAAAAAAAAATGACCACACAATAAAAAAAAATATATATATATCTATAAAAAATGCTTTTCAAAATTTGTCAAGTCAGCAGCAACATTTCGTCTTGTCTTCTTCTTCACCACAATCTAGTGCACTCATAAAAAAATACACAGTTTTACTGCTCCACATGTCACGAGTCTCTGAACGCATCTTACCAAAGTACCAGGTTGTCCTAAACTTAGTCCATTTGACAAACCAGTAATGATAAATGATAAATAACGAGCTGAGGCTCCTTTAGGAAAGCAGACTTGTGCCCTTCGATAAACCTTTAAATTTACTTGCAGCTGCATTAAAAATCTGCTTTAGGGCAACAGCTGTAATGTGACAACTTAAACATCTGTAACCAAAGTTTGAAAGTGTTATTAGATATGGGGGGGGGGGGGGGGGGGGATGCTTGTGTCAAAAGAGCATGGTGAACACAAATCACTAACTCAGTTCTCCTCTCTGTTTACGGGTCAATAAAGTGTTTCTCTTCATACTTTTTAAATCCTCTTCTTACTTTCTCTTGTTTCTTTTTGTTTCCTTAAAGTTCAGGCTCGAGCAGCACACACAGTCTTACTGCACATAATTGCTTTTACCGCACCGAGTTGCAGTCTGGAGCTTCCCACTCTCCTCCGCTTCTTTTCCCAGAAGATGGGTGGATTCATCATCGCTCCAGCTTCTCCCACATTCATCACTTCCTCCAGGTTTCCCTCATCCCTCCCTTCTTCCTCTCTCCTCCTCGGCCTCCTCTCTCTTGTTTTAACATTCACGTTGTGCCCTTGTCACGCAGCACACTCTGCATGCCAAACACCTCCTCATCATCATCTTCCTCATCCTCCCTGACTATTTTCCCATAAAAATATGGTCTAATTAATGATTGCTTCTTCTTGACTTTTCTTTGATTTTCTAAGCTCAGGCTCTTTTAGCCTGAACATCAACCTTTGCTTCTTTTCCTTCAGCGTGTGTGCACATGTAGCTATTTTTAGTAAGCTGAGTCCTCAACAAGAGCAGAAGAGGATCAACATGCAGCAAACACTCCGTGCACACTGTAATCAAACTGTTTGAGAACCTTGGTTCAGTGTCAGTGTAAAATTAAAGGGCTGGCCGTTCTTCAAGGAATGTGCATCACCCGCTGCCGTTCATGCTAGACCTGTAAGATCATCTCATGCTGTCGAAAGACAAAGTTAAAACTGTGTTTGTTAAATCTCTAAAACTAAATTATACCAGATCTCATGCTCAGAATATGTGTTTGGGATGACTCTCAGCTACTACCACGCCACATTTTAGCTTATTGTCTGTAAAACTGTGTTATAGCCACATTTGTGTTGGCTAAGAATGATTAGCTGTGGTCGCCATCTTGAATTTGATTCACTGCAGAAGTTAGTTGTAGATGGACATTAAATTATTTTTTGAGAGGTTCATGAAATCTGCACAGTGGTTCATGAGATATTTTGCTAACAGACAGGACTGGCTCAGACAGTTGCTGCGTAGGTTTTAGGCAAAGATCTTGTGCAACGTAGAGCACTCAGAATTTGAGATGGGGATGATGCTCAGCTACTAACACACAAATCTTTAGCTGAATATCTGCAAAACTGGCTGAACTGCAAACATTTTGGGTTTAAAAAGATCAGCTGGCTGTGGCAGCCATCTTGAATTGTATTTACTTCAAAAGTTATGCAGCGGTAGATGTACATCCAATGATGTTTGAGAGGTTCATTGAAACCCAGCTGCTATTTCATGAGATATTTTACTAACACAACAGACAAATGTAAAAAAAAATAAAAAATCAGTCTTTGACATGTAACTTTTTAGTAAACGAACTAAAAACCGGGAACAGAGAACAATGTTCAGCTGTATTCACAGTCCGTCATTCATCTGCTCTTTTCAGATTTCAACTGTAGGAGTAATTATTGCTTTTTTGACAACTGGTGGGTGTCATGTTGGAAACAAAACTCTTTGGCTGAGGCATTTGTGTGAAGGGGGGGGGGGGGGGGGAGAAATCAGGCGCAAGAGTACTGCTGTGTTCGGTGCACTCACACCATCAAGCATGAAGAACAAGTCAAATTTGCCACCGCTCAAGTCAACATTATGCAATTTAAAAAAAATAAGTAACAGTGAGGCGGCCACAGCGCAGATCACCCGGACAGGCCGTGCCTGTGCAATGTGAGCTGGGAGATAGTCGAAATGACTCACCGTACTGCCACTAACACTGTCGATGATTATGATAATTCACTGGCAGCAGCTTTGTGAATCACTATAAATCATCCCACATTCACTCCGTCTGACTTTCTATAAACTCCCCGTCACATCCCGTCTCACATACCCCTCTGTCTCCCTTTCTTTGTGTTTTTTTTTTAACTTTCTCCCCAAGTCTGGGCTAATCACACATTTGGGGGATGGGAGGGGGTGTGCTGCTGTTGAATTTTAATATTCATTTATACAGCAGGCCTTTGATGTCCCCTCCCATCACCCCCACAGTGCAGTGTAAGCACTTCTCTATCTCGTGTTCTGCCAGCTCTGCCAGCCCAGAATATCTCCCTCAGCACCCTGAGCTTTGTGCGTGTGTGTACGTGGAAATAATTACCCAAGAAACCCCAACAATGCAGCAAAATATGATGGCGCTGAACAAACAAAACAAGAAAGGAAAGACTGATGGACAACTGTCGGGTAAAGGTATCAAAAACATAAATGTTTGATTATGTCAAAGGTCAACCAGACTCAGAGGAGAAATTTTGTCATAAAATACACCTAACACACACCAGTACAGCTGATTTAGTCCCTGTGTATTTGTGTTATGTTTCATAAAGACCTGTGGAAACTGCAGCTCTGTGGGGTGTGTCTACAGTAGTTAGTGGCCCACTGTCTATATTTAGCCTCCGATCCCCCCCTGTGTCCCCCTGTGTGACCCTCACTCAGAGCTGCAGGCATTCCATATCTGAGCAGAGCGACGGTGCTGCCTTACATGTAGGGAGAGTTTCTGTTGCGTTCACTCTGTTGGGTTTTACCTCAAGAGGAAATGCATGAGAAGAAGTGTTGAGTTGATGTAGCTCAGCTTTTGTGCAAGTTACAGCATGTAGCTGTGCAAGATCATGAGGGTATTTGGTGACCTTTAGGGACCGCTTTCTGTGGTGCAGCCATGGAGGAGATGGTGATCAGGTTGCCAGGGCGATCTGACTCCCCCGTGGGCAGCAAGAGCTTCGGTGCTGGCGGTGGGTTTGGCGAGACGCTGGTGTTACGGCACAAAGAGGTTCACCACTTCTTCTTTGTCCCCTTCAGGGAGCAGCCCATCTACAGCACGCGGGCCCACGTCTTCCAGATCGACCCCAACACCAAGAAGAACTGGCTGCCCGCTAGCAAGCACGCCGTCACAGTCTCCTACTTCTACGACAGCACGCGCAATGTCTACCGCATCATCAGCCTGGACGGCACCAAGGTGGGCTCAGACTGGTTCCTTTTGCATCGTTATCCAAAATTCCTCAAAGATTTTTTAAAATCAAGATGAGTTTGGTCTGCACTTGAAGGACAACACTATTGCTCTAAAACACCAGTATGTCTTTATGAAAGATGTCCGGGGACAATCCTGCAGGGCTTAGTGTCATGGAGACAGCTTTAAATGAAGGGATGACTGAAGAAAGACAGAACGGAAGAATGTGTAAAGCTAAAGTAACATACAACGAGAGTGGAACCAGAAGAGTTACGTATGTTTGCATTCAGCATGTGGACCTTTTTCACAAATACCCCAAAACACAAGGAAGTTTCAGGAAACAAAAAAAAGACAAAAAAAGTTTTAAAATCACTGAAGAAAAAAGTTTGAAAGTGCAATAAACTTTTAAAAAATCAGCATTTTAGAAAACACAACGGTGACAATGATAAATCACAACAATATCTCACAACAATAAAAATAAACTTTTTTTCCTCTAAAGTTTTGTGCTTCAGACATTTTGGGGGGGTTGTTTATTTGTTTGTTTATTAATCAATTAGATAATTAGTTAAGTAATTTGTTTATTAGAATTGTTTCTCAAAGGCAGATGACTTTTGTTGGAGAGCCTAAGTCAAAGCTTTATCTGAAATTATGTTTCTTTTCAACAACAACGCCACAACACTGGCTGATGTGTCGATCTTAACTCATCCTGTGTTGAGGATGTAAATCGTTACAGATATTTACTAAATCATCTGTTCAGTTTTTATTTTACAAACACATTAATTTTCCATTAGAAGTCTGATAAGAGTTCAAACAGCGTCTGGTAAAGAACAGAGATAAAGGGTTTGTTGTCAGACTTGTTGCTACATGACAGAAGATTTTGTACGTAGTTATTAAACCAGCATCTTCTGAACCGTTCTGGTCGATTACTGAAACAACATTTACCTGTTTTCTTCAGCAAACAGCAGAAAACACTAAGTATTTTAGGAAAGAATTACAATATTATAATGTTTATTCAGACCAAAATATGTTATGTAACACATTTAATAAATTCACTAGTTTGATTTGTTTCAATTTATAGCTAATGAAAATCGACACATTTATTTTTATATTACTTGGGAAGAAATGGTAAAGCTTTCGTTGAAGTACCTCAGAAATATTTTTAATAAAAACAACTGTGCTACTTTATCATCTGTCACTTTTTATTTTATTTAGTTCATTTATGAAAAGAACGATATCCAAGTTTTGACAATCTGCTAACTGGCTTCAGAAAATCCATCCATCCATCCATCCATCCATCCATCCATCCATCCATCCATCCATCCATCCATCCATCCATCCATCCATCCATCCATCCATCCATCCATCCATCCATCTTTTACTTGCTTTTTCCTTTTTGGGTCATAGTGCCCATATCCAACCATCACTGAAAGAGAGGTGGGGGACACCCTGGACAGGTTCAAGTCCATCACAGGGGCACGTAGAGACAAACGAGGCAAACAACCATTCACTCTCTCACTCACACCTAGTGACAATTCAGAGTTACCAATCAGTCCAACATGCATGTTTTTGGTCTGTGGGAGGAAACCGGAGTACCCAGAGAAAACCCACACATGCACGGAGAGAACATGCAAACTCCACCCAGAAAGGCCCCCGTTGGAATTCAATTCGGCGACCTTCTCGCTGAGAGGCAACAGCTCTACCAACTGAGCCACTGTGCCACTCTCCACTGAAAATCAAATTGCACATTTTATTTGATTTGAGATTTCTGTTACTGCAGAATTGAGTTGATTTTTCTTCTTGCAGGCAATAATCAATAGCACCATCAGCCCCAACATGACGTTCACAAAGACCTCACAGAAGTTTGGCCAGTGGGCCGACAGTCGAGCCAACACCGTCTATGGACTGGGATTCTCCACAGAGCATCACCTGGCTAAGGTAAGCATGCACACATGCACAAGAATTGTGTACTTTGATACTACCCAAATCATTCAGTGACTTGTTTTCTCCATCCTCTAAGAAGATTCCAGCTCCCTCTCCCAATATCTTTGTCAAAATTCACCAGTTTCTGCAATAAGCTGTGTGCATAACAGTGTGTGTGTGTGTGTGTGTGTGTTTCTAAGATGTTGTGATTTTTATACCTCATTAATAGTATTGAGTTAATAAAAGTCATGGTTTGTTGAATATATTATCCACAACATGTGTTAGATGAGGCGACCTGTACCTCAACACTTGTATTAAACTCCCTGAAATGATTTATTAACGTTTTCAAGGTTATGAAATACAGAAGTATTCTTTGTTGTAAATTATTGGGAAAAGGTTTTTTTTCTTTTCAGTTGAAATGGACTCTGAACGTTTCAGTCAGTGAGAAGCACTAACCCAAGCACACAGTTGTGTAAGCTCCTGTACAGCTCAAACGTGTGAAAGATAACACCATTGTCTCTGTTCTTGTTAATTTTTTTGCTGTGTGGTTAATATTAAAGAACAATTTAATTTTTTTGCCAGTTTCTGTATTTTTCAAGAGTGACCCAGCAACAGGTTAGGACAATTTAATTACATGGTACACATTTATATAACAAAGTGGCCTTCAGGTCACTGTTGTGTTTAGGGGAAAAAAGACAGGCACTTAAAACATGCCATTTTTTAAAATACTTTTTGCAAACACATCTCATACTCAGGTCTTCCTTATTTTATGTAAGACCTAAATAAAAGTTTTCAGCAGCAAATAAAACTATATGTATTTAGCCTGATGCATGCTCAATAATCCAGGTAGAAAAATCTAAAAAAGTTAAATCTGGTCCTCTGGACCAGATTTAACCCAGGGGAGGCCACACCGAGTCTGTATGGTTTACCTAAAATCCACAAACAAGGTGTACCTTTAAGACCAATTGTTAGTATGATTAACTCTGTCACTTACAATGTTTCCAAATATCTGGCGTCTGTACTCATCCCTTTAGTTGGCAGCTCAGAACACCACATACAGAACACCATGGACTTTGTGGACAAGGTGAGGGATGTCATCATGGAGACTGATGAAACAATGGTCTCTTTTGATGTCACATCACTCTTTACGTGCATTCCTGTTGATGATGCAGTAGAGGTGGTCAGTTTAA